CATCCATTTGATTCCATTCTTTCTCCATTGCAAAGCTTGTAACCTCATATTTCCAATGCATCAAGAATTATGCCCTAAGACCCCTTGAGGTGGAAATGCCATGGATTTGAATTTGGTAGTTTGAAACTGAGTTTTGCACAAAGTCAAAATTTTGAAATCTTTATTTTGGCTTCTAATCACAAGATTTCCACGCGTTTTTGGTCCTAATCATGTTTAGCAACTTTCTAGAAGTGATTAGCATCATGAAACACATAATTTGGCTGAGTTTTGATCAAGTTTGAGCCACACTTTCTTCATGATGCAAACCCACATGAAGTCCCTCCAAAACGCATCATTTGCCATTCCTTTTGATCCCATTTGCTTCCCTATAAATAGAGGGTCATCCCCCATTCAATTTCCTAAGCTTAGACAGCCAAAATCACCCTGCCAAACTTGCTTCACAATCAAAAATTCAGCAACTTCAAAATCCATTCTCAAGCATTTTTCAATCCATTTTTCCCCTCAATTCACCATCCTTGATCTTCCTGAAGCTAACCATATAATTACATTCAAGAATCGTGCCCTATATTGCTCCATGGAAGTCCAGTTTCAGAGCTCTGCAACTCAACTTCAACAGGTAGATTCCTTCATCAATTCTTCAAAACTCTGATATCATTGTGTTGCTCTCATCGCTCTGGCTCTAGTAGCAACACTTACATTTCACTGGAAGCACGTTTTGACCATGAATTTTCAAATCCCTTTTCAAAACTTTCTTTCCAAATTGCTTGAGCTACAATTTATATAAATTTGGCGCGAGGGTGTGGTTGTCTTCGTCTTGAAGAGACGAAGCGAATGGCATAGGTCTGAGCTTCTGATTTTACAGTTTGAGAGACCTGCAATTTATGATGGCTGGAGGTTGAAGATGACCAACGTGTTATCTTCTAACCAATGAAGGCTTGCCATCTGTATTTTTCAAATTTTGATTTTATTATTGATTTTGTACATTATTCATTAAAGACCATGATATGCACAGTGTGCCAGATCCCTTGGATTTGATTACTAATGCGTTTTGACTCTCATTCAATAGTCCACATCTTTTACTTTTATTTTCTTTTTCTGATTTTTATATTTTAATTATTTTAAATTTAAAAAAATCATAGAAAATTCATTTTTAGTCCAAAAAATCTGAAAAAATTATGATAAATATTTTTGATTATTCTCTTTCTGATTTTTATTTTTTCACAATTTAATTTTGTGTTTTTGTATTTTTTATGAATTTTACACTTATTTGATTTGTTTAAAATGTTTAAAAATACTTTTATACATTTTTAAATTCTGAAAAAGTTATGGAATGATCCAATGATATTATGACAAACATTGGTGACCTTATTTTATTTTTGTTTCTGACTTTTTTTACTATTTTTGTTTATTTTACCCATTTATTTTTAATTTTTAAAAATAGTTTCTGACTTTTAAAAATTACCAAAATTTTTATAAAGTTACTTGGCCTCTTTTCTGATTTTTCTATGGTTTTATTTTTCATTTCTTGATTAATTTGAATAAAATTGACATTTTCCTCATTATTTTCCATTTTTTAAACATTTTTAAACCTTTTAATGTATATATTAATTATATTATTATTTTGTGATTATTTTCTAGCTGTCTTGGGTTGATTTTTTGATTATGGCTTTATTAACATCATTGGATCCATGGTGTTGAGTTTAACTGCACAAAAAATGGATGAATGATTTTAATAATAGTTTGATTAAATATTAATTTAAATGTGGTTTCTCTTTTTACCCCAATTCCTCTTCATCTCATCCACTTCTCATTGCATTAAATGTTGTTGGAGCATGATCGCTATATCATGTCTCAAAATAAATGGTGCATAGATTGTTATTGACCGGCCTCAAAATAGGTGTGACTTCTATATAAGTCCACTTACGATTGCTTAACATAGCGCTAAATTTTGTCCCGATTCGAATAAATGATCATCCGTGGCCCAAACTTATGATTGCAAGCCCAAGTATGTTAATTTGATCTCTTTGATCCAATAACCTTGAGATTCATTGTGTGGATGCTTTGGTTCTACCAATCCTCTAATGGATCTACAACACCTTTGGTCAACGTGTATCAATTAAACATCGTTGATCATTAAATGGTACTTATGAGAATTCCAAATGGATGATATACTTGACAAAAAGCAAATGCAACTTGTTGGGTGGAGGCTTTGGTTCTACCAATCCTCTAATGAGTTCCAAATGCAAGTTTCAAGATGGTCATCAAACTAACCACTAATTATTGACTTGTTTATTTTATGCTTTTATTCTTTATTGTTTTATGTACGGCCGGTATCGCGGTAGAATGGAGATAACATGCCCTTTGGGGGAGTTTTGATTTGTTGAGTGTTTTGCGGGTTTTAAGATAAATTCAAGTAAAGGCGTTTTTTGGATTTTTTTGATTCGTGGATGTGAAGTTTTAATAACGAAAGAAGAAGAGGGCAAAAAAATGGGGGAAACTAGAGAAATCCCTAATGTCATCATGCATGGGTTTCATCCTAAGGTCTAATTAGTCCGCATCTTAAAGAAGAAGAAACTAACATCCTAAGGGAGCATGTCATAGGTAAAGGGGAGGCGGTGTTTGTGAAGAGTGTTCGTGTGTGGTGATCATGGCAAGAGTGGCAAAATGTGTAGTATTAGGAGAGGTGTTAATGAAATGCTTGGGGTATGGGAATTGGATCGGGTTATAATTAACCTAGGGGCATGATTGATTAATCTCGTGAGAATAGGTGCTCCTACCCTCAACCATGAGACCCTTTGTGCATGGAAACACTTGGTATATGGACCAAAGTGATTGGTTCGGGTTATGGTTAACCAAGGGTAAAACTTGATTAATCTCGTGAGAATGGCCATGCCCAAACTCAACTATGAGATCCTTTAAGATGATGCTTGGTACGTGGACCAAGGGGAGAGAAATTGCTTCAATAGATAAGATAAAAATCCCATACAAGGTTGCTATATGCATGATCCTAAAGAGTGGGACTAGCATGGCGCTAGTATTCTAAACGACCAATTGAAACAATCGATTGAATAGTTGTCACTGTAGAATAGCCCAGGACCAAACTATGAAATGTGTGCGAGTGTGCATTTTGTCGGTGGATACCTGTTCATTGATGATGAGCCCAAGAGGATGCTAAGTGTTCTACTTTGGATAACATATGAATGATTAACGATTTAAACATACAGAAAAATAGCAAAAGAAAAAAATCATAAATTATTACAAAACACATGGGGATAGGGATACAAGTTTGATGAATGGGGATGAATTGGATCGAAAGTTCGATTAAAAATTTAGTTAAACAAGCAATAAAACTAAATCGAAAATTAATCAATAAACTAACTAAGTTATCTATAAAAATTAACTATTCTAAATAACTAATAAAAAGAAAATTAGTTTAATAAATTATTAATAAGGTAATTAAATTTTATATTTTTATATTTTCTTTCCAATTAATTAATCAAGCAAAACTAACTAATATAAAGTGATTAAAAAATTAATAAACTAAAAAATAATTAAGGGGGTTTCAAAAATGAATAAAATGTGATGGAGGAGTACCTCACCGTAAGCCCATCCCGAATAACCTAACCTTAATTAATCCTAATACTAAATAAGTACTAACTAATAATTAAACAAAGTCAACTAAATATTAACTAAAAAAATTTAACACAAAAAACTAAATAAATAAAAAAAGAACCGTCAGTGCTCCTCCTATCCTATTCTTCAGTAAAACGTAACAATCAAACCCATATTGTTGGCTTTTTCTGCTTTGGAAAATTCACCAATTATAGCACAACACATGTATTGAAATAATTAAAAAAGAACTAAAGAAATATAAGCACAAGAGGAAATAACATTTTCAGATCTAAACAGACTCTCTCTCCTCACGTTATCTCTCTTTCACCTGTTTTCAAAATGCTTTTATCTTCTTTCTCAAATAGAATAAGATAAAGCGTGAATCAAGAATTTCAGAAAAAAGGAAACAGAATTAAAAGTGGTAATTACCAGGAAGCAGAAACGGCGTATGGTTGTGCGAGTTATGGTCACAGTTGCATGTTGATGCTCATGCGGGGCTGCGTGTGGCGTCGGATCGGAGTCGACATCCGAGAGGTGCGTGGAAGTTGGTCGAGTGCTGCTTCTGGCCGTGGGAAGGTACGGTTGAGATTTCGATGCCAATCATTTTCGAGGTTCTTTTAGATCTTCCCTCAAAGCTTTTACTCCCAACTTTAAGGTTTGTTTCTACTTGTTGATGAAAGTAGTGAGAGCAGTTTGCTCCACTTGGGATTCAAAGGTTTTTTATGCATGATTGTGATTTCGTGTTGTTGTTTTTGGTCATAGTGAAAAGTTTACAGGTTTGTGTCTTTTGGATGTTGCAAAGTTAGTTAAATTGCTTGTAGTGGGTTTACAATGGGGTTAAAGCATAAAGTTTGACGAGGGAGGCTTTTTCTGTAAAAAATCTGTATTCAGGGTGAGTTTGGAGAGAGATTTTGAAGGTGATGAACAATGATTTTTTCTACTTTTTTTTTCTCGTTAAATCCCCCCTACTGTATGTTTTGGTATCTGTTATATATCCAATAAAAAAAGATTTTGGGGGGGGGGGGGGAACCATAGCATGATTTTTGAACTCTTTTGCTGCCCTGCTTGGTTACTTTTTTATGCTGCTTTTAGCTTGCCTATTTGGTGCAAGTTTTGAACAGGTTTTGACAGTTTTGTTGGACAGTAATGTGCAGGTTTTTTCTTTTTCTCTCTTACCTCTCAATGATGTAAAGCTTGTTGTGCTTTTTCTTTGAAAATTCTGAAGGGTTTGCTTCTTTTGGAACATGATGACATAGAGGTGCTTGGGCTAATGTTAGCCTTCTATATTACTTGCTTTGTTTGATGCTGCTGCTTGTTCTGTTGTAGCTATGTTGTTGTTTTCTTTTTGTGGGATATTTTGCTTTATGCTTATTGTTGCATTACCTTTGTTACTTGGGATAGCTTTGCTTGTTTTGCTTGCTGGATGACTGTTGTTGTTTTGTGCGCTGCCTTGTTAAAGCTGTTACTTTCTTTTTGTTTGCTGGCTTGCGGCTTTTTCTCATTGGAAACTTTTCTTTTCTCCCCTTTTGTGAACCAAAGAGGACAAATCTTTGTGATTTGCAATTTGGGAGAAAATAAAACATGATAAAAAATATCTCCCTCTTTAACTGATTCCAAATGCAAACCCTTATGATGAGATACAAATTCCTTTTATCAATTAATTCTTGTTTGGAATTTCTTTCATGCGTTTGATTGCTAACTTTTATTCTTTTTCTTTGTCTTGTTTCATGAACACGAGAATTGGATGGCAAGCGATGTTAAACGATAAAAATACCATGGCGAGGAGCAAGGACGAATGGCCTGAAGATGAAGACTTGAAGAAACACACATTATTTCTCTCTTTTTTTTTGTAAACAAACAAATGTAATTTGTATTTCACACTGTAATATGCCTTGTAACATTGTCTCGAAAATGTAATGAGCACAAATTTGAACGAATTTATTAATGATGAACCTTATTGTGGAAATCAAATGACTCTTGAATCTTGTTTGAATTCTGAAATTTTCTCTTCAATCAAAATTGTATGCGAACGTGCGATTTCTTCAATCAATTTTCCCCAACTGTCATGGGGAGGTCTAGCTTCTATGAGGGCTTTGGCATCCTTCAAAGAGGCCAGGGGTATCTCAGACTTCTTACATTCCACGACGGGGAATTTGTCAACAGTAACAATCTCCAGAGCTTGAAAGGGCAAATCTTGTACCTCACCTTCCACTTCCACATAACGATAGGTAGTCAGATTATTAATCACTATGTCTTCTTCCCTGCAAACGACGACAACTTGGTCATTCGCAATTAACTTCAGGCGTTGATGAAGAGTAGATGTCACAGCTCCTGCTACATGAATCCGTGGACGTCCCAAAAGGTAAGTATAGGATGGACAGATTTCCATAACATAGAATGACAAATAGAAAGTGTGGGGATCAATCTTGACAGGCAAATCAACTTCTCCATCCACCGATCTTCTTGAACCATCGAATGCTCGAACATTTAGAGTGGAGGGCCTCATCATTACTCCATCCATATTCAGCTTAAACAAGGTAACCTTAGACATCACATTGAGTGAAGAACCTGTATCCACCAAAACTTGAGATAAAACAGTGTCCATGCAACACTTTATTATGGGCTCTGCCTTCAACCGGGAGTTCATCATCACAGAATCCCAAACAATTTCCCACGAAAATATTAGTGACGATCCCTTCAAACTGGGCCGCAGAGATTTCTTGGGTAACATGAGCAGAACATAATGTCTTCAATAAGGCATTGCGGTGGGCCTCTGAACACAAAAGGAGAGACAAGATGGAAATATTGGATGGTGTCTGGTTGAGCTGGTCCACTACTTTGTAATCACTCCTTTTGAGAATTCTCAAAAGTTGCTCCGCTTCTTGTCCTACAGAATGTTCGGGTTGATTATCCATCACTTGCTTTCCCCTGGCCTTAGTTAAAGCTTTACTGTTAGTCTTCTTAGGAGGTGGTGGTGGAGGAGAAAAGATCCGACCACTGCGAGTCATGTTACTTGTTCCTGCGATGTTGGTAACATTCTTGTCACCTACCGGAGGGCACTCATACCTCTTTACATGAATATAGACTACATTATACTCCCATGGAACTGCCTTCGAGTCGTTACTTGTAGGAGGAATAGGAGCTTGAATCATTGTGGGGGTAATAGGAACTTGAATTGTTAACGGAATACTAGGGGTGGCTGAAAAGCTTCTTGGATAGTAAGGGATTTCCAGGACATCAATCTCTTCTTCTCGGAATACTTTCTCTATTTGTAAGACACCTTCATCGATCAACTGTTGGATGGCCATCTTCAACTCAGCACACTCTTCTGGTTTGGAAGAACAGGTTACGCAGAAGTCATGGAGTTCTTGTAGCACTTCATGCTTCAACAAATGTTCTCTGACAGTTTCCAAAGATATCTTAATTTCATCAACCTTTGTTACCAACACCCATTCATTAACTTCTTTAATAGTGTTGATTGTTCCCCCTTGATGAGGAGGCATGGGATTATTTTGAATATTCGGACCAACAGGATTGAAGTTGACGGCTTTTGCATCGATGAGATCTTGAGCTTTGCACTTCAATTCTCTGCAATTTTCAATTGTATGGCCTGGGGCACCAGAATGGAATTCGCAATGAGCATTAATATCATATCCCCTAGGGAGAGGATTTGGCGATGGACCGAGTTTGCGCAATTGAACCATTTGGCTAGCAAGTAAATGTGGGAGAAGCTGAGCGTAGGACATGGGAATGAGATCAAATCTTCTTTCAGGGGCTCTCTGTCTTTGAGGAGCTCTCGGGCCTTGGAGATGTTGATTCGGTTGTTGATAAGTTGTAGGAGGTGCAAACTGTTGTTGCGGAGCATAATGTGGTTGCGGAGCAAAAGGCCGTTGTTGGGCCATCCAGGGTGCTGGAGTTGTAGCAGCATATACTTGAGGAACAAATTGGTTGGGAACAGCAACATGTGTAGGAAAATAAGGGAATCAGACTTGGGGAAATACGGGAGCTCTTCCTTGGTTGACGGTGATGGCACTGGTCTCTCCCTCTTTCTTCTTGACAAAACCATAAAATGGTTTTCTACTCACGCTTGCCTTGTTGTTAACATTGCTAGGAACACCTTGAATCGTTCCAGCCTTAATGCACGTCTCAACACGTTCACCAATAATGACCATATCCGAGAAATAAGTAGAAGTTCTACTAAGCATATGCTGAAGATAAGGGCCTCGTAGAGTACCCATAAACAGATCAATCAATTCTCGATCCAAGAGAGGAGGTTGGACCCTTGTAGCCAATTCACGCCACCTCTGAGCGTATTCTTTGAAAGACTCTTCAGACTTTTGTACCATCCCTTGAAGCTGAGTATGACTAGGAGCCATGGAAGTATTGTAATGGTAATGTTTCAAAAAAGCATCAGCAAGCTCTCCCCAAGTACTGTCATGAGATCTTTCCAATTGCATATACCAATCCAACGATGCCCCGGTCAAACTGTCTTGAAAGAAATGCATGAGTAAAGGTTCATTTTCAGCATAAGCCGCCATTTTGCGACAATAGGAACGAAGATGAGTCTCTGGGCAAGAAGTTCCTTTGTATTTGTCAAACTCTAGGACTTTGAACTTGGGAGGGATAACTACCCCAGGCACGAGGCACATTGCAGCAGTATTGAATCTGGAAGCCTTGATACCCTCCATGGCTCTAAGTCGCTCTTTGAGAGCATGATACATCTTCGCAGTTTCGGCAACCCCGACAGCAAGGTTCACTTGGGGTTGATCAAGATCAATAACATCATGATGATCGTCGACATCATTCCTAAGAGCACCGGTAGGAGTCTCAACATTTGCATTGTCATTTCTCCCATTAGAAGAAGTGGAAGGAGCAACAGTAGTAAGCTTGGCAACACTTTGGTGTAGTTCTTCTTGACCCTTGATCACGGCATGAAGAGTTTCCATAAGTTTATCCATGCGAGTACCCATAGTGTCCATATCCCGACAGAGTGCATTCTGATTCTCTTCAAAAAGATCCATTAGCCTTTGCTGGTTGCCTCTGGTATGGTAGGGATGTGGCTGAGTCGTCTTTGCTGTTTACTGGATTCTGAGAAAGGGGACCCCAATGAGTTTTTGTTGCGAAAAAATGAATGTGTGGTAATATGGATGAATGCTTTATCTTCATTTCTAATGAGACCCAAAGACTCGTCTATCTTTTTAAAATTTCCTTTTTTGAAAAGCTATATCAACGAGACTTGTCTTTGGGTTTCCCTAGATATGAGATATATATACATGATGATATGACGTCATGGTATGTTATGGCATGAAGTCTCATCTCCACATATTCGGGATAACCATTGCGTAGTCTGTTGCACAGGCTGAAAGTAACAGGACCAAAAGTTCGACGTCACAGGCATGGAGTCAAAGTAACCACCCACGAGGTATGTACTAGGGGTTTATCACCTTCCGAACAAGGTTCTAAAGAGTTCTCGAAGTCTACGCTCTTCCTTTGGATATTACCAATGTCCCAATTACTTGGTAATCAGTAATATTCGCAGGAAAAACTCGTCCGAGTGCAATATCGTGTGACAACTACTTCTGGATTACTGCGTTATAGTCTCCACACTGCACCTCAAAGGCCAGGATGGGTTAATGGTTCTACGGCCCTCAGCTTCTCGAGTTCCCAGGTCGAAAGCAACGATGTTGTCCCGATTACTCGGTAAACATCACTACTTTCAAGGGGACCTCCACTGAGTGGGGGGTTTTCATGCCTCCTTCTTCGGGATTACTCCCTCAAAGTTAACATGACTATACCGCCCGTCCTAATCCTATGTGTAACCCAAGTCCGAGTATAGGACTTCAAAAGTAATCACCAAACCCAACATCACAATGTATCCAGAATATGTGGGTAGCAACAATATATGCAATATATACAAAAGAATAAAATAAATGAAGAAATAAAATAGTAAAGCAAGATAAAGAAAATAAGTAAACACCCAAAAACACAAATAATTAAAACTAGGAGAGACTCGCTAAAGGTCCCCAGCAGAGTCACCAGTTGAAGCTACCGGCAGAAAACACAGAGCCGCCACCGAACTTTATTTATCCCGAAGGAAGGGGAAATATCAATAAAACCACGAGGGAATGGATAAGATGGTATTGCGACCAAGAGAAAGAGTAAGGGAGTCGGTTACGCGAGGGGAAGGTATTAGCACCCCTCGCATCTGTTGTACTCAACGGGATCCATTTTGTTTGTTTGTCTCAAAAGTGTGTATATATCTACAACTATGCTTGCTTAAAGGGAAATGGGTGGTTTTTGATTATTGCGTTCCAGGATAGTCTGACTGGCGCAGCGTTGAAATGGTACATGAGTTTAGACAGCACCAACATCCATACTTTTAATGATTTGGGATAAGAATTCATTACACAATATAAGTACAATGTGGACATGGTGCCCGACCGTGACCAGCTTAGGGCCATGGTTCATAAAGACACAGAATCGTTAAAAGAGTATGCACAGAGATGGCGCGAAGTGGCTGCACAAGTGATTCCTCCCATGGAGGAGAAGGAAATGACTAAAATTTTTCTGAAGACGTTGGGCACTTTCTACTACGAAAGAATGGTAGCAAGTGCCCCAAGTGATTTTACAGAGATGGTAGGAATGGGTGTCCACCTAGAAGAGGCAGTAACAGAAGTCCGTTTGACAAAGGGTGAAGGATCCGGAGCTGTGAAGAAGCCAACTTATGGGTTTACAAAGAAGAAAGAGGGGGATACAAATGTTGTCATACAAGAGAGGAGAGTGAACGCTCCTAAAAGGAATTATCAGCGTCACTAGCAAGTTGCCTCAGTTACTCCTATTATGAATGTCGCTC